GAATGTTGAAAGTGAAAAAAACACTGCTTATGTTTTGTCAAATGTTCCATTAAAAAAAAATATATATATATATATTTTTTTTTAATGGAACATTTGACAAAACATAAGCAGTGTTTTTTCACTTTTAACATTCATCCAGCGGGCCGTATTGAACCCCCAAGTGGGCCGGTTTTGGCCCATGGGCCGTATGTTTGACACCCCACTGAAATATTGACATATATGTTTATAAGTCAAAGAGCTACAAACATGTTGGATTCTCCAGCAGCGGTCACCTGACTCACTCCCCCTCAGGGTCGGTGTAATCTGAGCCGACTGATTGGTTTTATTCTGATGCTCTGCAGAATGAAACAGTCGGAGTCGGTGTGAATCACCTGGTTGTTACACCGGGGCAACAGCCTGAGGCTCCCATGTAAATGAGAGTCCAGCGCTTTGAACCTGTGCCAATAATGAGACAAAGACACTTGGCTTCACTCTCTCTCACACACACACACACACACACACATCTGTGTTGCTGACTGTTGTCAGGACTGTTCTGACCTGTCCATCTAAATGACTGTTTACACCACAGATGATGTGCTTCAATCAAATGAGCAGAGAATAAAATAATAATAATTTAAAAAAGACATTTTAAGTCAAATTAATATTGTAGCCCACGATGATTAAACTGAGTTTTTGACACGGAGTGAGAATGTTGGTGTTGATGTTGGCGATAACTCAGACTCATGACTACGACGTGGATCATTCCGGACTGGCTCGTTAACTGATGACCAATCACTGTAATGATACGACTGGACGTTGGTGAAAAACGGGTTTGTTTCACTCTGTTGATTTTTACTGTTGGTGAAGACGAAGAAATGAAAAAGAAACAAGAGAGAGAGGAAGAGAAAGATGAAAAATAAGGAAATGAGGAGCGAAAGGAAAAAGAGAAGGAAAACAAAAAGAAGATGAAAAAGGGGTAAAAATAAAGTGGACAGAGAAAATACAAGAAAAAAGATCCGTCTCTTCCAAACGTAATATTTCAATCTACTACATGACCATGTCTGTAAAGTGACACTTAATTATTTTCTGACCGTTTTTCTCTTTGATATTTTTCGAATTCTCAGCATGAAAGGTGTGAAAATAACCACCTGTGTCCACCACCCACCCACCCTCACTCAGCCACAGTCACAGTGAAACTACGTCCAAAATAGAATTGTTTCTTTTCACTGACCTGAAATTCAACACTTAAAAATAATGTAAAAAAAAAATCACTAATTAATTAATTAAACATTCGTAAAAGCATAAAAGCTCAATATTTTAATTACACAAAAACAACAGAGCGCCACCTGCCCCCCCCGCGTCCCTCCCACCTCATGACCCTGTGTCTGCTCTCCGACTCTGTATATCCGCTGTCTGATTGGTCGTCTTCTATTTTTAGCCTATCGTGGAGTGGATCTGCATCCACTTAACCTGCATCAGTGTCTGGACGCCGCTGGGATTGAACGTCGCTCTCCTGCAGGAGATGAGACTGAACCGTCTGAAACACGGGTCAACTGATGCTTCCTGTCGACGACGACGAACCAGAAGATTTTAATTTTGTTTTCGGTGTAAGGACTAATCATGGAGAGTAATTAAGGGCTGGGTTTGACAGATTCACTTGGTGGAACAGTTAAAGTTATAGTAATTTTAGTTATAGTAACTATTAAAGGGATGTTTTCTACAAATGGACTTTGTCAGAGTTTTTTCGTCGCCTCTCCCTCATCTTTAGCTGCTGGTTTGTGCGACTGTCGTGAAACGATGCCCCTTGTGACAAAGCAGGTAATTACAATAACTACCCCTCAGAACCGTGTGGTCAAACTCATTAGACCTAATTAAATGTTAAATGGGTGGAACCAGTACAATCATAACATAGTTACCTATTAATGGCAAAAAGTCCAGGTTTTTCCCCTTTGTTTTGATGCAAAGACGTACAAGAACGTTAGGTAAATCTTCACATTTAATGAAATGAACATAAAGTGTTTATGTAATTTTTTTTTTTCAAAATTTCAAAATTCAATCAAGCGTCCTGATTGAGCCCCCTAGTGGGCTGTTTTGGGGCCCCAGGCCGCATGTTTGACACCCCTGGTATATACAGATTAGTAAGTAATGACAGTGGTGGGTAAAAACAAAACAAAAAAAAACAAGTTTTGGTCAAAAAAAAAAAGAGTTAAAAACATAATTGTTATAATTTTTTTTAATTTTGAGGTTTTTTTTTTTTTTTTTTTTACTGTGTTTGTTAATGACAACAGGACAACTGTGTCTGTAAAGACCTGGTCTGATCAGCTGTGACAGAACTGTCTCTGACTGCAGACGATTTGTCTTATCACTGTCATATCTATCATATGAATGTTTGTGTGTGTGTGTGTGTGTGTGTGTGTGTGAATGTTTGAAGATGCAGAATGAGACAGATATAAGGGGAGCGTCTCAGGAGACCTTATATTGTTCTGTTTTTTTTTTTTTTTTTTCCACACCTCCACATCAGCTGCACCGTGACTGCACCACATCCTTCAACCAATAAAACTGCGACAGGAGGGAAGTCCAGAGATGTTACGGCACCACTGGAGCTGGATTTACTGCTTCACTTAACTAAGTCTGAAATGTAAACATGGCCGCGGAGAAACTGGGTCATAACTGGGACGGTCGACGGCAGCCTTGTAACACAGACGCATTCACTGTGTGTGTGTGTGTGTGTGTGTGTTCAAACACATGACCCCAGAACCTCTCACGTTCTTCTTTTGTTTTATGTTTTCTCTATCAGTGTTGATAGACAGGACTCATCTAATCTAATCTAATCTAATCCAGTCTAATGTAATTTAATCTAATCTAATCTAATCCAGTCCAATCTAATCTAATGCAATGTAATCCAGTCTAATCCAATCTAATCCGGTCTAATCGAATCTAATCGAATCCAGTCTAATCTAATCTAATCCAATTCAGTCCAATCTAATCTAATCTAACCTAACCCAGTCTAATTTAATCTAATCTATTCCAGTCTAATCTAATTGAATGAATCAAGTCTAATATAACCCAGATCTAATATAAACCAGTCTAATCCAGTATAATCTAATCTAATCTACTCCAGTCTAATCCAATCTAATCCAGTCTAATCTAATCCAATCTAATCTAATCCAGTCTAATCTAATATAAACCAGTCTAATCCAGTATAATCTAATCTAATCTACTCCAGTCTAATCCAATCTAATCCAGTCTAATCTAATCCAATCTAATCTAATCCAGTCTAATCTAATATAAACCAGTCTAATCCAGTATAATCTAATCTAATCTACTCCAGTCTAATCCAATCTAATCCAGTCTAATCTAATCTGAGGTCTGAAGGCTGACGTTGTGATGACCGACAGTTCCTGTAGTTCCCTCTACACTAACACAATCCGGGCCGACCTCACCACACGCTCGACCGCAGTACTACGAGTCGTAGTACACCGAGTATCAGAGGGAGGACTGTCCCTTTAAGCAGCCCATCATCTGAAGAAACAAGTGATCATCAGGCAGAAAACG